AACAGTCTACCCCAGTGAGCGAAATAAAGGGTTCAGTTCGACATTCCAACCACCTAAAGAAGGCCGGAGCGTACAACGGCCGAAACGTTGTAATAAATATGGCGACAAAGATGAGGACAATAGTCCGAATAATGTAAATAATGTACATAATACCTCATCTCAGAAATATAGACAGAAACATGTGATTACTTGCATTATTTACATTATTCGGACTGTTATCCTCATCTTCAACGTTTCGGCCGTTGTACGCTCCGGTTTTCTTCAGGTGATTGGAATTTAGAACCTAACCCTTTACTTCGTCTACTAGTTCTACGTGTCATTTCCGGCATGTATCAGTTATTTCCCTTTAACTCAATTTTCCAGGTTTTGGTTCACCACTGTTGTAAACTCACAACTTTTTGGGTCTAGTCACTGGATCTAACCAACGTCTGTATACACTGGACTATATCTCCTTGAGGACATCTATGTATGAATTTTGAGATTTATAAACCTAATGTCTCAGCCTCGATTTTTTACAAGGCCGAAACGTTGTGAATATGGCAATGAAGATAAAGATAACTTCCCGAAAAATGTAAATAATGCAAGTAATCCTAATACCTCATCTCAGAGATATAGAGGCCGAAAAGTTGTGAATATGGCAATGAAGATGAGGATAACAGTCCGAATAATGTAAATAATGCAAGTAATCATAATACCTCATCTAAGAGATATAGAGGCCGAAACGTTGTGAATATAGCAATGAAGATGAAGATAACAGTTCGAATAATGGAAATAATGCAAATAATCATAATACCTCATCTCAGAGATATAGAGGCCAAAACGTTGTGAATATGGCAATGAAAATGAGGATAACAGTGCGAATAATGTAAATAATGCAATTAATAATTATACCTCATTTCAGAGATATAGAGGCCGAAACGTTGTGAAAATGGCAATGAAGATGAGGATAAAATTTCGAATAATGGAAATAATGCAAGTAATCATAATACCTTATCTCAGAAATATAGACAGATATAGAATATATGAGTCTTTAAATATTTTTTTTTTTTTTTTTTTTTGCAATTAGATTAGATGAATATATATATATATATATATATATATATATATATATATATACAGTGTATCACAAAAGTGAGTACACCCCTCACATTTCTTCAAATATTTAAGTATATCTCTTCATGGGACAACACTGACAAAATGACACTTTGACACAATGAAAAGTAGCCTGTCTGCAGCATATATAACAGAGTTAATTTATTTTTTTCCTCAAAATAACTCAAAATATAGTCATTAAAAGCTAAATCCCTGGCAACAAAAGTGAGAACACCCCTTAGGAAAAGTTGTCAATATTAACATACAACATGTCAACTGTCAATATTTTGTGTGGCCACCATCATTATCCAAAACTGCCTTTACTCTCCTGGGAATGGAGTTTACCAGAGCTTCACAGGTAGTCACTGGAATGCTCTTCCACTCCTCAATGACGACGTCGCGGAGCTGGCGGATATTTGAGACTCTGCGCACCTCCACCTTCTGCTTGAGGATGGCCCAAAGATGTTCTATTGGATACAAATCTGGAGACATGCTTGGCCAGTCCATCACCTTTACCCTCAGCCTCTTCAGTAAAGCAGTGATTGTCTTGGCTGTGTGTTTGGGGTCATTGTCATGTTGGAACACTGCTCTGCAACCCAGTTTCTGGAGGGATGGGATCATGCTCTGCTGCAGTATTTCACAGTACATGTTGGAGTTCATGTTTCCCTCAATGAAATGTAACTCTCCAATACTTGCAGCACTCATGCAGCCCCAGACCATGACATTCCCACCACCATGCTTGACTGTAGGCATGACACACTTATCTTTGTACTCCTCACCTGGTCGCCGCCACACATGCTTATGGCCATCAGAACCAAACAAATTAAATTTCGTCTCATCAGACCATAGGACATGGTTCCAGTAATCTATGGGCTTTGTTGACATGTCTTCAGCAAACTGTTTGCGGGCTTTCTTGTGTATTGCCTTCAGAAGAGGCTTCCTCCTGGGGCGACAGCCATGCACACCAATTTGATGTAGTGTGCAGCATATGGTCTGAACACTAACAGGCTGAATCCCAATCTCTTTAATCTCTGCAGCAATGCTAACAGCACTCCTACACCGATCAGCTTCTTTGGATGACCTACCCGAGGCCTGTTCTGAGTGGACCCTGCTCTTTTAAAATGCTGGATGATCTTAGCCACTGTGCTGCAGCTCAGTTTCAGGGTGTTGGCAATCTTCTTGTAGCCTTGGCCATCTTTATTTAGTGCAACAATATGTTTTTTAAGATCCTCAGAGAGTTCTTTGCGATGTAGTGCTATGTTGGAACTTTCAGTGACCGGTAAGAGAGAGTGTTAGAGCTGCATTACAAATTTGAATACACCTGCTCCCCATGAACACATGGGCATAGTTACACTAATGAGTCACATGACATTTTGGAGGGAAAATGAAAAGCAGTACTCAATTTAGACATTTAGGGGGGTAGTTTCTTAGGGGTGTACTCACTTTTGTTGCCAAGGATTTAGCTTTTAATGGCTATATTTTGAGTTATTTTGAGGGGAAAATAAATTAACTCTGTTATATATTCTGCAGACAGGCTACTTTTCATTGTGTCAAAAGGTAATTTTTTCAGTGCTGTCCCATGAGGAGATATACTTAAATATTTGAAGAAATGTGAGGGGTGTACTCACTTTTGTGATACACTGTATATAGATAGATAGATAGATAGATAGATAGTAATTTCAATAAGTGGATCATTTATTCAGTTGGTGCATTTTGAGACACTGTATTTACTGCTCTAGTGCATCTCGCAAGTATGGTTCATGGTGACGACCAAGGCACAAGAATGTAGTGATTTTCCAGTTTCTTTTACCCCGGAGATACTGCCGACAAACCGATGACCGCTTGACACAGGTCGGTTGAGGAGAGAAACCCTCACGCAGTTTCACCGGCAGGTAGATGCCGTTGTCCTAATGTCAATGCGACTTCTTGGGTCCTTGTGTAAGATTCGAATATCGGCCGTGGACGAGTACTGTTCCGCAGGGTCAACCACTCCGCTGCAAAGGTACTACCACTGATGATACACGCCATACACCGCATCATTTTATTACGTCATAATAATAGAAAAGCGATTCACTATTTATATATATTTGTTGATATATATATATATATATATCAACAAAGACACTTAATACTAATTTACTTTTCCTGTAAAAATGACGCCCTATTTCGTCAAGTCTTTACAATTATTAGAAATCTTGCGCGTATGAATTTTTAAATAGATTTTTCCAATTATATTACAATTGGGACACTTATAGACGTAACGTTTTATTGCTTAATAACAAATGACATACGGGTCCCCTACACTGTGGGCAGAAAAAAATTATATTAATTCTAGTTTACTCATGCGATAAAAATGGCAGCATATTTTGTTACGATGATGAACTCACTATTTAGTTATAACCGTTCTAGTGAAACAAGGTTACTAAGCATTACACCACGTTGAGTTGCCCAATAATGTTTTACTAAGCGTAGATTAGATGTGGCACAAGGTCGAAAGTATGGAGCACCCAGTAAGGATCGAAGCCACTACTCACTCATAATTAATCTAGCAAGACAAGCTTGTTGACCATTACACCCTATCAAAGTGTTCCGGTATGCTAATTGGCGTACAGTCATTATTAAGAGGACTGTCCCACTTGTTTACAACTCGCTGATAAAGGTTAGCATTTTATACCCACAATATAAGTCGACCATTTTTTCGAAATATTTTTTTAGGCTCGACTTGTACGCCGCGATTTACGGTATGTAGCAGGCGTGCGTTTATATCTGCGAGGATATTCTAACAATTTCAGAAGAATTGAAGAAGTTTATTTTAAAACAACAAATAAGTGATAAGATTTTTTAAAAAAATATGAAAAGATAAGCTTGTGGCAATATTTCAAGCTTAGGGATCTGCCATTCTCAAAAATCATCAATTGTGTCTTTGGTTGTCTATTAGGTTCGAAAACTGACCGATGATACCAGCTGTAGTCAAATAACGATTCCAGCCACAAGGAGTACGGGAATCAGTCGAAAAAACCACCCACACAGCAAATGATTAACAGCTTTTCATCCGTGTTTAAATTCAAACAACCTATACGACTTAAGAATCCTTACGAAAAAGCATCGGTTTTGTGTATAATTAACATTAATTCAACTTTGTTTAAATCTATACGACGCACAAAACACGAGTGAAAATAAGAAGCCTTAAGTTGCTTCAACAGCATCAATGAAAGGTATCCGTTCATTATTCACAATGTTACACCTTCTAGCAATGAAGACCTCCATTTTTTTTTCTTATACACAGAGACGTATCTATTGCATGCACTTTAAAAAGTGAACGAATTTTTGCGCTGACAACCCACAAATTTTTATCTATACACTGACATGTTAGTTGCAAAACGACTGTTAGTCTCTGATACAATGCTGAGTACAATTAGTACAATTTCCATTCAGTGATCAACTAATGTAATATCGTACCATAGTAAAGTAAGCAGATTATCCCACATCCTTGCGGCAGATTGTGCAACCCTCGTAACTTAAGAATTTCAGTAACAGTGCGTTTTTATGAGCTGACACTTATCTAGGAATGGCTCATGGTGTTTTTAACGAGCCATCTTCTCTGGGATGGTTTATAACCAAAGCTAGAAACCCTAGTTATTTAAACTACATCTAGTAGGAGAAGCTAAGGATCTATGCCTTTCTCAATAGTATATTTGCGAAAGTGAAGGCACAATCCCGGTTGGAATTCGAACTCTGACTGCTGATTTCTCTTTCCAGTCCGCTAAACGTAACACTTCCCGCACATCCGGGCACTATAGCAAATGAGTTTATATATTCCATGTATTCGGTGTGGAACTGTAAGTCTCGAAGATCATTATTACTGTATGACTTATCACTGGATGCCCCACACTTGTAGGTATATTCACGACGACTCTCTTGCTGATAGATAGATAGATAGATAGATAGATAGATAGATAGATAGATAGATACGGAATATTGGCATTTATCTACCCACCTGTTACATCAGAATATTGCTCAAGACTGTATTTAATCCAATCGGTATTTAGAATAAGATACAAAATTTCTCCGCTCATTTGATACTTCCCCATAGGGACGCTTAAGACTTCAAGGATTTACTAACTCTCCCCATCTTAGTGCAATGGAAGTGGTGCTGCTGAAATATTAGAAAAATTTGATCTACAAGAAATGGATGATAGAATACCCTGCAATCTGTATCGGAAATAAACAACTTGTATTTGAAAAGACAATAAATTAAGTGCGTGCACCGTAAGTGGGAATGACCTACCCACTCCGCGATCGATCATAATAAAAAAACCGTGGGACATGACCTTTCGGGACATGGGTGATCATAGCTCTCTACAGCTTCCTATCTTTTGTTGCTTTCATCAGTATTTTTTCCTAACTTTTGAATATAAAAGTAATATTTTTCTTTCAAATGGGAAGAAACAAGTTACAAAGTTCCTCACAAACAAAGTTCAAAGAAAAATATTTTGTTTTTCTTCTTCACAACCCAAAAGAAATAAATTACGTTAGTGTGAGTGAAAAGATATATGTGACTACTTCATATCGATATGCGGGTTCTACGGGCATTTTTTGGCCGAGCCTAATTTTTGGCTCGAATAACGCACGTTAAACTCGGCCGTGTGCCACATACACCCTCGGGGGGGTATGGGGGCGGTTAAATATACTAGCCGAAATTTTTTTCGTTTATACAGTCGAACTCCCTGCCTTCGGGCAGAGAGGAACCCGGGCGAGGCTCCGCGGATGGGCAGAATCTCGTTGGGGAAGGGAGACTGACTCTGAACCCGTTTATACGGCTTCAAAGGGAATATTTTGGACCGAGTCTACGGGCTTGGAAGACCCACGTCAAACTCTACCTTGTGCCACGTCTACCCTAGTTGATGGGGGGGGGCTAGTAAATATCGACTAACCGAAATCTTTTTCGGCTTGCTGCTTGAACTTACTGACTCTGAGCAGAGAGGAGCCCAGACGAGGCTATGCCGAAGGACAGAGTCTCGTCTGGGGTGGTAGACCTACCCGACCCCGTTTTTATGGGGTCTACGGGGAATTTTTGCCCGAGCCTACGGGCTCGGATACCCTACGTTATATTCGGCCTTGTGCCACATCCGACCGCGTGAGACGGTTTGCAAATATACTAGCTGAAATCTTTTCAGCTACAAAGTCGAACTCTCTGCCTTTGGGCAGAGAGGAACCCGAACGAGACTCTACTCTTCGGCAGAGTTTCGTCTGGGGAGTTAGACCAACCCGATCCCGTTTATGCGGCTTCTACGGAGAATTTTTCGGCTGAGCCTAAGGGCTCGATTGTCCCACGTTAAACTCGGCTTTGTGCCACATCTACACTCGTTCTAGTAAATACCGACCATCTGAAATCCTTTTAGCTATACGGTCAAACTCTCTGCCTTCGGTGCAGTGAGGAACCTGGACGAGGCTATGCCGAAGAGCAGTGTCTCGTTCGGGGAGGTAGACCGACCCGATCCCGTTTATGCGGAGTCTACGGGGATTTTTTGGTCGAGCTTACGGGCTCGGGAACCCCAAATTAATTTCTGCTTTGTTCCACATCTGACTGCGTGGTGCAGATGCTAAATATTGTAGCTGAAAGCTTTTCAGCTGTACTGTCGAACTCTCTGCCTTCGGGCAAGACGACCTTGTGCATAACTGTTACCTTTATTCTTATTGTACTGTTTTTTTATTTTTTTACAATAAACCTTTACTTATTTTATTCACCTTGCTTTTCAAGTATATATTCCTATTAGCACGGAATATAACAGCACATAATTGAGGTTTTTAGTGTTGACCATTTTCACCATAGTCTATTAATATAGAATACAGCGCAGTACGTAATCTGTTCAATGAAACAACGTCAAAGATTAACAGTCAGATATTTTACTGAATCTGACTATATCGCCAATACCACCAGCAACTGTTCCGTAATTCTTCAGTCTTCGATATCAAAGGCTGGCAGTGCATATTCGGGGAAAACATGGCCGCCTTTATACACGTCGCATTGAATATTTTGAGCCTTCTGATTGGTTAACCATTCTATTGGTGAACTATAAAATGAGTCAGCTCATATATATATATATATATATATATATATATAAATATATATATATATATATATATATATATATATATGAAGTATTTTATAGAGGAGATTGAATTTTGAATCTCAAGATAGACTCGAATTCTGTAAATAAAAAATAAGAAGTGGAATGTTGCCCCCTTCAAATCCTTAAATTCTACCTGGGGAGTTCCCCCTCCGGAATTCCCCATTGGTTGAGAAACTCTTTGATAGAACAATTGCAAATGAAGAACATGCAGCAACGTAACAAAAATTGTTAAATAATAACTTTTTATAATACTTTTTACCGATTATCCTGTATAGTTAAAGAACTGTTTTTTTTTTTTAATTATTTAACAACAAGCAAGACAATAAAGCCACTAAGCACCAAGGGGTTATTGAGTGTGAAAGAATATAAGACAAAGTAAAACATTATTAAGGAGAGAGTACAATAAAAAAAAAAGCGGGAATTGATAAGACAAAAGGTTACGATTGACATTGCATTTAAATTTTTGAAGGTCAAAGCTGACTGGCAAGTAGGTAGCCAGAAGAAAGTTCCACAAGTGATAAGTGCACGTGAAGAAACTGTTAGGATAGAACGTGCTATGGCATCAAGCTAATTCAACTGCAAATAGATGAGCCCTTACCGCCAAACTAGTACTGCGCTTAAATTTATAAAGTCTAGGTATCAAAGAGAAAAGCCAATCAGAATTTAGAATTAGGTTTCCGGTTCCTTCTAAAGATACTTCAGTCTCTTTCACTCCCAGTAGACACCCTTGCTTGGGCTGAATTGATTAATATATATATATATATATATAGGATACTTATTTCACGAAAAATCAACACTAGAAAATGGAGAGGAATATGTTCCGCCACAGCGATATCAGAAAGAGTGCGACTCGTAAAAGGCAACGTCAAAAATCCGTACTGTGTTTGGTTTGCGCACTGTTTTGGAAGTCCTCAAAAGTTTGAACAACACTAAATGCGTACATGCATATATTTGATTGTATGGGTGAGTGTGCGAATTTTCTAAGTAAGATGAAAATGAAAAAAAGAAAAATAAAGAAAAAAGAAAAAGAAATAGAAAAAATGTAAAAGAAAAAGAAAGAAAAAAGGGAAAAAAAGAGAGAAATAAAAAAAGGAAAAGAAAGAAAGAAAGAAAGACTGAAGGAATTGGTTCGCCCACATAGACCAACAAATACTGAGTATTTTTTTTCCTTTGCAATAAAAGACTTAATTAGTGTCCCAGGAACAATAACGTTTTTCCCATAAACAAAAATCTTGACATTTCTTCCATCTGCTTCTGAATTAAAAAGAGAAAATCGGAGAAAAAAAGTGCAAAAAATGGAATCCTAGGTTGATTCAGAAAGATTTAAGCTGACTTTCGTACGATCATTGTTATCGTCATTAAATAAATAAATAAACATAATAATAATAATAATAATAATGAAAATACAACAACCTTGAAGAGTATATCTAAAAATATGGCGCATGAACACCTCAATAATTCCAATTGTGGTTGGAGTCCTCTGATTGATTTGAATAGACTCCGATAGACTCACTGAAGAGATACCTGGTAGCCCATGTATTAAAATAAATACAAAAAATTGTTCTCACAAATACAGCTTAGACCTTAAGAAGGGCTTTATCTATGTAAAATGTGTGTGATCTTACATTCAAAAATGTTCAATGAAAATGTTATTTCTGACCTTAGGTCTCTGGTTGGGACCCGGATTAAATTAGTATAAAACAGAAATCAAAGGAAATAATAATAACATTATTATTATTATTATTATTTCCTTTGATTTTTGGTGGGTATGCATTTCTTTCCGGGTCCCGCCCAGAAATCTAATGTCAGAAATGACATCATGATATTTTCCACTGAGCAGTTTTGAAAAGAAAGTTCACACATATTTTGCATAGATAAAGCCCTTCGTAATGTGTGAAATGTACTTGTGACAACAATTTTTCGTAGTTAAGGGATTGGCTACCAGGAATCACTTCTGTGAACCTATTGGAATCTTTTTCAATCAATCCGAAGGGTCCAACTGCAACTAGAATTGTTGATGTCGTCATGTAACACATTTTTGAGATTATTATTTTTTTCATTATTATTATTATTATTTGCGTGTTATGTTTCCTGCTTTGTATCCTATAGAGCCGGGTCCAATCTGTGGTTCTTTCATCCTATTGGAGAATTGTCATTTAACTGATAGCACTTTTCTTAATATTCAGGATGTCCCTATTAAGGCGATCTTCTGCACAACTTGTATGTTGATGTTACCTGCGTCACTGTTAGTAAAATTGTCCATTCTTTTTCTGACGAGGCCCAGAGCTTTGATTACTGTTGGTACCGTCTCAGTCTTCACTCCCCACATCCTGTTAATCTCGATCTCCAGGTCCTTGTATTTGGACAATTTCTCGATAATTTTTATGGAGGTGTTTCTCTCAGATGGTACTGCTATGTTAATAAGCATACACTTCCAGAATTCCTTGTCTTTTATGATAATAATATCTGTTGGCTTTTATTTTAATTTCAGTTTGAATTATTATTATTAGTAGTAGTAGTAGTAGTAGTAGTAGTACAGTTCCAATATTATTAAAATAGGAAATATCTATATATACAGGGAATTTATAAAGTCAGTTTGAAATTTTACCACAGTACTAAACTGGCAACTAGGTCTCATCATTTTACAGTTGAAATTGCTACAGGTAACCGCTAGTTTTTTCTCTCTCTCTCTCTATATATATATATATATATATATATATATATATATATATATATATATATATATATATATATATATATATATAGATACATGTATAAATAAAAAATTTTAAGTCATATTTAATGTGGACACAAACTGAGAAATTGAGTTTTTAATTGAAATTAATATAAA